AAATCGCACAATGCTGACCGGGTGCTCAAATTAAAGCTAAAGGTTCACGCTTTCGAACAATGTAAACTTCATTTGCGTGCGATTTTTATTTTACTTTTTGGAACTTCGCAAACTTGGTAAAAAATTTTTAGATTTGATGCATCTCCATTTGCATCCGTGCAGCTTTGTAAAGAATCAGTAAGTAATTTAATGAATTATGGATGTCGAAAGAAGAGACTTTAAGCTTTAAAATGCTTTTTTGATCATTCCGATACGATCATTTTTGACGAAGTTACACTCTCTTAAAATTTGCCTATTTTTAGTGATCAGAATGGGTGATGCTTTAATTTTGCTGTTGAGTGTATATAGTAAATTTTATTAATTCTCGTTGTTTTGTTACATTTACAGTAAACCACATTATTTGATTTCATAAGTGCGTTTCTAATAATGTATTAAACGTACGCGGATTCATACACCTTTTCGCTGGAATCTATTAATTTCTGACCTTGCCAATTTTCAAAGAACGTGTTGAGTAAAAGTGCGCTCAAATAACTAACGTGTTTCAACAGGTGATTGATGTCTTCCGTACTCGTTATCACCTAGCGAGAAGCATATATGTAATTAAGATCAATGCACATTTATGAAATGGCCTTGAGTTGAAATTGAATGTACCTGAAATCCTAATATACTCAGGACCGATATGTTAGCCCCGACGTGTATGAAGAGCGGTATTCTATGTATTGACTCGGTAACAGTGGCAAATCTAGTACAGTACATATAAAGGCATGAATTATATGATTATTATTCAGAATAAGTAGGGGAGAGTTGTTGAATGTGTACCGGTCACCTAAATTATACCTCATCAATATTTTTTATTATTATTTAATATATTTAACATTTAATTATAAAAATATAAAATAAATAATATAGACAAAAATTTAATAAGGTATAGATTATTTTGTGCATGCTAACAATACTTTAAAAAATTATGTATAGTTAATGTTAATTTTTGTTTAATTTATATAATTGATAATGTAATCATGCAATTTTAATTTTAATTTTTATATTTTATATAAAAAGATTTATAGATATTTTAGATGTAGTATATTTTACATTTATTGTATATACATAGTTACAATCATTATAAAATCGATATTTTTATTAATCCTGTAAAATTTCCTGAATCATACCACTACAAAGTAAGACTGATAATTGACAATGGTAAAGATAATAAATGATGTAAATACAAATGTTATTTGCAAAAATAAATTTAAATCGGTTTTATTTCGACGTCCTTATCTTTTCATTATTGTTATTTATTAATTATTAAACACATAATCCTTTCTTTCAATAAATTATTAAATTAACTATTAGTTAATAATTTTTTTATTAATCTTTTATTAATATATTTTTATTTTTATTATGAATTCGATACCTTGTTCGATACTTTCAAAGGAGGTTTGATTTAGGCGATCGATTTCCTAAATCGTCTATTTTGCAGCATGTTACAAAAAGATATAACAAATAAATTTTTAGTGAATTCAATTATTAGCGAAAAATTAAACATGTAATAATAGGTGCCTGAAATATCAAGCTACAGTTTCCAATATTTATTTTATAAATTAGTATATTAAATGAAAAATATAATTAAAAAATAACTTAATAAGTAGTACGCATTCGGCAATTCTCTCCTAAAAATGTAACGTACGTGTACTAACTGTATAGCTTCTGCATGCCTTCGAATACTGTATACGATATTCGAGTGAAGTTTGCTCTTCGCGGACATCGGCAAATCGTTACTCTCGAATTCAAACGCGCTTTCCAAACGATATCTGGAAGGTCATCCGTTATCAGATGCGTTAAAAGCATTTCGTGTCAATCATCTAAAAATTTATCGAGCTCACCTCAAAGCCGCAAACAATCCGCAGCAATGCTGGACAAATGTCATATACAAGACGTCGAAAGTGAGCATTAAGATTGTATAAGATACGACGCATACGGTGACGTGTACAAAAATTGGAACGTAATACGTTTTTGGATCAACCATGTAATTGACATGGTACGGTAATCCTATTTGTTCATCATGAGCACTACTCGGATCATCCTCGCTCGGTTCCGCATAAAGTAGTTTACTTAACAGTGTCGTAAATACGAACACGACAGTGTGACTGAGTAAGACACCTAATTCAGAAAGCGTCAGGCGTTTTTGGATTTTCTTATAATTTGTGATTTTATCAACACGATAAAAAAAAGAGATACGACATCAAGGTAGCACGTAAAGTACTAAGCAAATTCAATAAGAATAGAAAATATTTTTTTCTATTATACACTCACAATATATTGTTAATAATTAATTTAATTTTCTATTATACACTCACATATTGTTAAAAATGTATTTATATATTGCTACATATATAGAACAAAGAAACTCACCTGTATAAGCGTAGCTTAATTTTTTTCCATACAAGGAATATGAAAGCAGAATTCTCGTCTCTTCGTCCGACTTCGGGGAATACCAGTACTGTCGCATTCTCGCCAAAAGTATCCTGATCTGCAGCTCGAGATCAATTTAAGTACGATCTTGCATCGACTATCATCCGAGTTTATTCCATCTGGTCATTCGAATTGATTGTACCGTCGTTATTTTTATTTACGCACCTCCGGTAACGTGTGTATCGCGCAGACCAATTTAGATATTGACACCGTGCCGAGAACTAACATCGGCAAACAGTCAATCACTTCTAAAGAATCTGGCCAAACTTCAATTATACCCAGCACCTGCATTCGGCACAGATTTATACATAGACAATTAAAAAAATTTGTGTCAGAAACACATTTCACATCCAAACAGTCCTAAATTTTTGTGCCAATTTAACACAAGATGAATATATTAGGAAATAAACACAAATATTATATAAAAGTTAATATAAGAAATGTAACATTTAGAATTTGGAAAGAAATTGTAGAAACACATTTCTTAAATAAAATTAATACGTACATTTTTCTTTTATTCATTTATCTTAAAATTTACGTTTTAAAACTATATTAAAACTATATATTATTTTTATGTTATTTATTCAATGAACTTATACTCATAAATTGTATTATTTTATCATTAAAAAATATTAAATATTTTAACACAAAATATTAAAGTAATTTAATCACATTATGTTAAATTAATTCTCGAATGTTAACAAAAATTCAACTCAAAAAATTTTAATGTTTAAGTGAACCGGCTTTTAACACAAGTAGAAAATGTTTTCTACTGTATAGATTACAGATATATCGCTCCTGCAGTGATAATCAATTGATTTGTATCAATTCACGCTGTGTCACATTCCACAAAAAAGACTGCGACATGCTGTAAAATGTATGTATTCTACTATAATGTGTGTAAAATGTGTGTAATAATTGCTACTATAGTGTATAATAACAATATATAATTGAAAGGTAATTTAATTATAAAATATTGAGAATAAGATGTTTGGTATTCATAAAAAATTTTTTAAAATTCAATGCGACTTCATATAAGAAAATCGCAAAGTCAAAAAATATATATAACGTGTGATAATTATTGAATGTAGTATACCTCGAATGTCATCCCAGATCCAAGTATGAATAGCAATGCGAAATATATTGCGCAACGTCTGGCTGTCGTCTGATGGAGCCATAGACCGCTGACACCTAACAGAACTCGTATAATATTGTAATGCGACTCTCGAAAGAATTTATCGGCACTGTCCATCTCGGCCCTTACCTTATCGCCGTTTTGCGAGTGTTCAGCTCGGGACTATAGATGATAGCTAGCCGCTTATGAAAAATTCCGTTTAATCTCGTCGATTGTCATGCGTTGGAAAAACACATACGTCGCTTTCCGCGATTTGCATCGTCAAAGCAATTCTCGAGGAATCGAATTTACGTTCGACCGTGGTAATAAATGTTTATTGCTCGTATTATCTACATCGAAACATGAAAGTCATACGGTACAGCTGCGGTAGTTCTTTAGAGAACTCTATATAAGACTTTATCAGAAAATCATTTGAATTGCGAAGAAAAGAACGGATATTCTATGGACGTGCGATCTTAAAATAACATTTCTTTTATTCTTCTTCTTTTTCCTGGACAGTAAGAAAAACTGAAATGAAAGTACTTTAATCAGCTTTTAATTAGAGCATATAACACCCTGCTTTGGCACACAACCCTTTATCTCTAATTGTTTTATTATATATTGAGCTGAAAATTTTCAATGTATCTTAATCGGCTCGTTTTACTTTCTGTTAGTGATAAGAATTTATTAATAATTTATTTCAATGTTAATTAAAATATAAAGCTTTTCACATACTTTTGACATACATAGATATATTTATTTATTGTAGATTATTGTTATTTATTAATTATATATAATTTATTTATCAAAATTTTAATACAAAATTTCTTAATAATAATTAATAGTGATTGAAAACAAAAATATTTTCTTGTATTGAGAAATGTATGATAATTTTTTAACAGATTAATGTGGGTTCAGTTTTAAAATAACTTTAACCCTTCAGAAAAATTAATGAGTCTCTTCCATATTTTTATATAATTATTTACAATTCTTTTTTTATGCAAAAAGATATTAAAAAGAAAAGTTACCCTAGAAATATGCGATCTTACAAGAGCTTATTTCTGTCTATTATTCAAACGTGTACATATATAAATCCTACCAAAACTCTTTTAAAAAAAAGAAAAAGATTACGCCAAATATATAAAAAAGTATCGTACCTTACATCTTTCCTAGATCTAAATATTATTTTAACAAATAAAAATTGTTTAAAAACAAAAATGAGATCATACAAGTTGCCAAGTATTTGATTAGACATAGAAACAAAAATATTTTTTAAATAAATCGTTTAACCAAAAGTACATATAGCAAAGTTTAATGCCATTGCTTTCCAAATATTTTTTTTTATTGCTTCACTTTGATCCCATTGATCAAAATAGTCACTTTAAGCCTGTTTTATGAAACTTAAAAATATTTGGAAAGCAATAGCATTAAACTTTTACTGCATATACTTTTGGATGGTTAAGCGGTTTATTAAAAAATCATTTTTGTTTCTATGTCTAACCAAATACTTGGCAATTTGTATGATCTCATATTTGT